GGCTTCCCCCAAAAGGCTTGCACATGGTTGCTATAGTGAGAAACACAGGAATCTGAGAGACGCTGCTGCCATCCCGTGGGCAAGTCATAGGAGGTCTGCAGTTCTGATAACAGGAAGCGGGTTTTAGATGGGACAGACCACAGCTGGGTTGAGCAACCCCATTATAGCCTTCAAACAGCAGAGCTGGAAAGGGGCCTGGTGGGTCATCCAGTCCAGCCCTTGTCAAGGAAGCACAGTGGGGGGTGGATTTGAACTCCTAGCCTCTGGCTCCACAGCCGGAGACCTAAACCCCTGAGCTCATGTGAAAATTGTGTCGATGAAGATTGTCACATCCCAGGGTGATGGCTGAAGCCTCTGGGAATTTGTTGCTTCCCATCAAGGCGAACCGGCTCAGCTCGAAGGAGTTGGTGTGTTGTTCTGCCCATGTGCAATCTTGTCACATCCTAAACTAAGTGCAAGGGAAGAGAAACAGGGTGAGAGACGCTGAACCGTTCATGCCAGTTGGAACAAGGCAAGGAGCACCAAGTCCAGGACTCATGAGCCTTCTTGGGGGTGTAAGTCCTGGTGGCAGCAGTGCAGAGCCTGGGGCAAAACTGGCATTGTGCTGGTGGTGAGCACAACGCCAGCAAAACGTCCCCCCCCCCAAGGTTGCGGCTCCACGGGTAAACAGTATGGGATTTGCTGTGGAAGCATGGTTTTTTAAAAAATGAATTATTGAGCTCTGTTGTTTTAAATGTATTTTAGTATTGACTTTATTTACCGTTTTTAACACGTATTGATTTTATTTACCGTTTTTAATACAATGCCTGTTGATTTCTTTTAAAATATTTGTATACTTACCACATCAGGGCACAGTGGTTAAAACTGCTGTACTGCAGCCAAAACTGTGCTCACGACCAGGGGGTTCAATCCCAGCTTGGCCGGCTGAAGGTTCACTCAGCCTTCCATCCTTTCAGGGTTGGTAAAATGAGTGCCCAGTTTACTGGGGGGTGGCGGCAATGTGCAGCCTGCATAATTAACTTGTAAACTGTCCAGAGAGTGCTTGAAGTGCTATGGGGAGGTATATAAGCAGTATGCTTTGCTTTTACTTTTGCTTCTTAGCTTTTTAATGATGTAAGCCACCTTGGGTCTTTTTTAGAGGAGAAAGGCAGGATCAAAAGCTTTTAAACAAACAAACAAGCAAGCAAGGTGATGCAAAAGCCAATTTGAATCAGCCTGGCCCTTTTTGGCTTCCAAGGCAGAGTTTTCCCCCTGGTGCTGGGGGCTTCTCCTTTTCTCAAGCTGGAGCGATTTGAACAGTGTTTTTCTTGCTTGATCCGTTCTTTCATTCTCCCAAAGAACAGGGACATGCCTGTGGGTGGTACCCTGGTGATGTTCTAAACTGGGCGTGATGTTTTAGACAGTGGGATTATACAGCCTCAAAGTCTTTCTCCCCAGTTGCCCCAACATGTGTTTTTAAATTTAAAACAAATGAGCAAATTTAGCACTATATCGCTGCACTGATATATTAGTTTAGCACTAGGACTTTTTTTAAAAGTTGGAAAACTGCCCCTTTTCCCTAGCACTGTGCAATGTTTTAAGCCGCCCACTGGTTTTACAATCACCCATAAAAGGAAAAGCAGAGATTGGCCAGGGGTTGAATTTAAAAAAAGGGAGACGTGATGTGGATCAAGCTACGTCAGATTAAGGGACTCTCGTAAAGTGAACCCTGGCATGGAAGCAATTCATGGTCTTTGTAGGATTGCCTAATCTGAATAGGAGCCTAACATAGGCTGCAAATCAAATTGCAACAAAACTGAATCATTCCAATCCAGGTTTCTCATATACTCACTGCCTTGCCTCCCTGACCTTACAAGGCTCCACTCCTATCCCATCGCAAGGTTCACTCAGCCTTCCATCCTTCTGAGATTGGTAAAATGAGTGCCCACTGGAGTCCTGGGGGGGGGGGGTAGCGGCAATGTATAACCTGTAGTTTTGGCCCTGAACCGCAAGGAATGGAGTTTTGCCGACACGTTACACAAGGGGCCTGTGCCTGTATTCTAATGTGCTTCCTATTCCATCCTTCTGAGATCGGTAAAATGAGTGCCCACTGGGATCCTGGGGGGATAGCGGCAATGTGTAATCTGTAGTTTTGGCCCTGAACCGCATGGAATGGAGTTTTGCTGACACGTTACACAAGGGGCCCGTGCCTGTATTCTAATGTGCTTCCTCTGCTTTCGGAGGCTTGCCTTATGAGGGCAGGAAGCAGGAGGTGAAGGGGTTGCCCGTCTCATGCTGCCTATCCCTTAACTTGGTTCAGGAAAGGCTGTAGGCCTGAGACATAAGCCCATACCTGCCGACCCACCTCTCGTGATTTCTGTTATAGTTTCAAATCAAGTTTGCAAGGAAAGCTAGTGAATAAATAATAGACAATACATCTGCATGCATCCTTTTGACACCATGCTGAGATTCCACTGTGGCTTCGTTCCTTCCTTCCAGAAGGGGAAAGCCCAAGAAGCTGCTTCTTCAGGGTGTCGGTCCATTTGACCCAGTATGATCAGCACAGACCGGCTGCAGCTCCTCACCTGGGACTTTTCCTGTCTGGAAAGGCCAGGAATGGAACTTGAGAGCACTGGCACGCCAAAAGCTGGCCTCTGCCATTGATCTGGGGTCCCCTCAATACAGCAGTAGGACCCAGGACCACTCTTATCCTTAGGCAGAGTGAAATACAAAAAATTAATTTAAAGAAGATTTGGAGAAGACAGAGTGGTAACATGGGAGCAAATCCAGGGGCTGTTTCGTCATTTCCAAGTTCTTACGTGTCCCTTCCAGTATGGAGGAAGGACTTCGTGTCCCTGTAAGTGGCCTTTCACCAACACTGCCTCCATCCACACCAGCTGACCCTGGTGACAGGATCACTGGGGAGGGCCTGTTTTATCAGATGTTTCATTCGGAGGTTCAAGTGCTAACCGGACAAATGAAAAAAGAAATCTCTAGCACAGGCTGAATTTTCAAACAGGAAAATGTGGCTTTAGCAATATTGGCCCTGGCTGTTGGCTATCCCAGTGCCAGTCAAATACCACCCCATTCAATTGGGATTATTTAAAAGTTTGGCCCTCTTTGGAGTCCAAAATGGTATTTTATCTCTGTTTCTTCCCTGACTTGCACAGGTATGCTCAAGGTCTTCTTTTTCTTTAATTTTTTTAAAGAAATCTGTCTTTTTTTTTACTGAAAGGCATCCAATAAGTCCCGAGGTGGGTAGATTCTTAACTTCATGTTGCTACTTTGGGCTTCTCAGCCAAGTTTAAATTGGGGGAGATAGAAATTGGGGCTCCAGTACTTTGGCCATCTAATGAGAAGAAAAGACTCCCTGGAAAAGACCCTGATGTTGGGAAAGTGTGATGGCAAGAGGAGAAGGGGACGACCGAGGATGAGATGGCTGGACAGTGTCTGCGAAGCAACCAACATGAACCTGACACAACTCCGGGAGGCAGTAGAAGACAGGAGGGCCTGGCGTGCTCTGGTCCATGGGGTCACGAAGAGTCGGACACGACTAAACGACTAAACACACACACACAGAGAAATTGGGAGCTGGCAGAATGCTGATTCGGTATTCTAGTCATC